TCCCGCCCCCTCCAACGGCCACGTTTATGAAACATTCCGATAATGTTTCTCTCTGGCTGCTGGGCAGCAGTGCAAGGCAGAAAGCAGAACCCGACCCTGACATAGTGACAAAAACCATGAGCGGGTTCCCTAATGACGGTTCTGACATTTGTGCATGGATGCACCAGGTTGTCCTACCTACACCTTTAAGTATGCACCTGCAGGACCGTTTTAGCGACTTTTCCGGATGGACCAATTAAGTGTCGACTATATTGCCCGTCAATTCAAGTGCTGCAAAAGCCTGCTGATAACTACCTTAATACCCGTGTATTAAGATCATGGATGTGCGAAACACAATTTCGGAGTCCACATTGCCAGAATAGTCGCCCAGTTCGCAGTATCGGCCCCTTTGTTGGAGGATCCCGTACATACCAGGCTGCGCAACGTTTCTTGCAGTGCTCACTCATCATTTGTCATGTCCAGCACCAGAATCGCCTCTCAAAGGATTCTTGAGCTCTTTGAACAGACTGCTTGTCGCAAAAGCCAACTGTGAACAGCCCGACTGCTCGTATAGTTAATAATATAAACTGAAAGACAGGCAAAGGAAGAAGGGGGAGAGAGAGAAAACATCTTAAAATGGTGGCTGCTTCACTGTGAAAGGCTAGCCATCCGAATGAAGCTATCTGCATTTACTCCAACGTTGCTTCGAAGGCAGCAGACGCAATGGCCTGCCAGATCTCAAAAAATCGCCGTGGCCACCTGGGATGGTTACATCGAGTGATTGGCGGCGGGACAGGGCACTTGTGGATAAGGGAGCTACCACTCAAAGGGTGTCTGGGCGCGTGTCTCAGGAGGAACAGTTCACCGGCGAAATTCAATTCCTTGTTCGAGTTGGGGTTTGAAGCCGTATGCCTTTTAGGATACAGTAGTTCCAGGACATGGCGCGGGCTTGGCAGCCTCGTTTGCCTGCAAGCCTCGATCGATAGATAATGCTATACACACACATTCTTCATGGGTGGTTAGAAGTGTCAGATAGTGGTATGTATTGCTGTTGATAAGGGAACGAATGGGGAGGATAGTTGACCACCCTCCTCCGAACAAGCACGGGATACAGGACTGCGCAAGGCATGTGAGTATGATGAACTGCGCGCAGGAGTATACGGTAATATTGAATGCTCAATACCCTCTATCCGTCTGTGGATGTGGGGACTCGTGAGCTCTAGTTTGTGCGGATTTAGAGGTTGGAGATGTGGGCATGCGGTGAAAGTGCTTGGATGCGACCAATGTTCTTGAGATATGCTCATCCTGGTCATGTCGAAGAGTCGTGAAATCAACAATCAAAGGAACCCCAACCAGCAAAGAAGCGGGCCTCATCCTGCGCGTGGTCTTGAATCCTGGGTCATAAATGTTTTAACTTGAACATATTGGTCTTTTTTAGCTTGGTGCTTCGTTTGGTCTCGACTCTCGGTTTTGGCCTTGACTTCCCCGGTCAGGGAACATCAAAGTTGTTTAAGCAAGGCGGACATTTCGCGCTTTCGCGCCTTTGGCAACAATCCCTGATCACCTAGTGATAGCAATAGTGATAGCTTGATGGCGAGCCCCTCGCTACGGCCGAGCCTGGGCGCTTTAACGATTTGCTAACTTAACTGGAATGCTCCGATATGCTTGAGATTGAGCAGTTAGTGAAACTGCTCGACACCAGGAAAATTGGGGTTTTCTGATATGGAGCGGCCCCTGTGGCATCGTGACGACAATAACACGCGATGGGGATGCCACACCCACGACTGATTAGGTTTCTCACTATGCTTTGTATGCATACAAAACCTGGAGGAGGCGGAAGTTTTGGCCTTGTCGGGTGAGAGGCCTGGCAGCCTGGGCCTTGACCGAGCGATGTAAGTAACAAATCACGGTGTGATCAGTGCTAGATGAGAGGATATACTGTGCATGAAAACTGTGGGGGGAAGCCGTTGAGGAGGGCGGCCGTTGAGAAGGGGCACGGCCCCGGCCGCTCTTGTCTTTTCCTGGCTCGCTTCTGCTATTTTGCGTCTCTAGTGCATCACAATTGCTTCTGAATGGCCATTATCAACCTGGTTGAGTTTCCCCTCGCACGTCTCGCTCCTTGCTTCGTTCAGAGCATTTTCCCCCTCGTGCCCTTGTCTCACCTTTCTCATGCCCTGGACCTTGCTAGTCTTGGGTACGTACTGCTCCCTTTTCTCCACCAAAGAACCAACCAAACACACCTAGGGCCAGACAGTGATACAACCGCGTCCTTAACTTTGAAGCCATCTCCAAACTGGGAGCCCATCTCAAACCAAGCGCATGTTTCCCCCTCACACGTCTCCACGAGTCGTAGAATGAAGGCAATGGAGCACCTATGACAACAGTCACTGAGTCGTGACGTGACGACCAGCCTTGTTTCGTTTCTCCGCCCGCCCACGTTTTACCGAAACAGCCTCCCATCGTCATCATTCTTAGTAGTTAGCATCATCGCCTACAGCACGCACGTTTTCTCTGTCTTACGGACAAGGATCTCGAATTCCAGGAAAATGGGATAGTGTTGGTCCAAGCAAACGCCACATGGCTTAGAAAATAGCCACACTATTAACCGTTTGCAAGCACGTATGTGCCAAAGCCATCTACTGTACCAGCCATGGCCCTGAATCTCCATCAAACACAAGGCTGCATGCCGGAGCAAGCTTCTCCGCACGTTCGGTCAAATTCAATTCCATCATGCGGCGCAAGCATCCCCAATCTAACTTTTGACAATAACTAGTCACCATGCTCGTGGACAACAACACAATCAACAAAAGCCGCTTTTCCACGACTCAGGCCTAGCTAGCATGGATATCCTAGACAGATCATGGGCATATGGTTCGTGCTCTTCTCTAGGCTGCTGTCATTACTGCAGGGCTTTCGATATTACCTGAACACATACATGCATATAACATTACTGCTTGCTGTAATCCCACAGCATGCAAGCGGCGCGCCCGTTCCTGTCGCTGCCACTGCTGCGAATTGGTCTATGATAATTATGATGGAGCACCGATATGCTGGTGATGGGGCCGTGCCGTTCACTCCACCTCCTCTCCGCTAAAAGGGTTTGAGTAAGCATAAGCTAAGCCGTCTCCTCTGCAGACGAAGAAGGTACTCCATATTCTCATCTCCCGAGTCGATCCCAAAACGGATCGCACTCAAGTATGTACCTACTCCGGCTTGTAACCGGGCCTCCATTCCTTAGTTCACCGGGCAAGATCATACCAGTAAGCTGCGGTCAATACCCTTTTGCGTGATATCGCCCTGTGTTAATGCTCTATTAGGGCATCTCAGCACAGCACAGCGCATTGCTATCACAGACAGATCGTGATGCCAATGGGCGAATGTCAACCGCACACAAGCAAACCCTGGTCAATAGCAAAACTCTTCAAACCTGAGTTTTCCTCTGTTTCCTTACCTCCCTGCTTCCTGAGTTTGCCCCATTATTAACAGCTCTGTCCAACGGTTTTCTAGAAATTTGCGGGCCAGCAACCTCTACTAGGCCTCGGAGGATTCTTCTCTCAGAATCAACGTGCCCCGGTCAAGTGTCAGGGTTCAGGATTGGCTATGGGCAGGGCGGCTTGGTTGAGGAGGGAGGGGGCTGCCGGGCCCTCAAGAGATAGTCCCCGTGTCCCCGCTCGACCCATTTGCTCTATCCATCTCATCCCAACCAGCATGGATGGGGGTAGCCAGTACGTGGACCTTGCGTTGGGCAGGACATGCTCTTATCCAAACTTTAGCGGCATGACTTGTCAACAGTACATGGGCTTTCTCTTTCGTGCTGGGCTTGATGAGCAGGGGTGTTTCTCGAACCCCTCGGTAGACGCTGACGAGGGGATGGCATAGCAAGGGACTGCGCTACGTGCTGGGGCGTGTCTGGGATGTCTTCTCTTACCTCGTGTGAAGGTCCTGGCTCCCAAAAGCCCCGGCGTTGTCGGCGGTCATGTCCTTTGCTTCTGCTATCCTGCCTGTATCCGGCAGTTTGCGGTCCTCTCTGGACCTGACCCTCTCTATCAGAAAGTCTCTGGGGCATAGCTTTGTCCGAGCTCCATTGCATGCTCCATTGATACATCCACCTTATCAGAACTGCTTGTCTCCTAGAGAAACAGCGTTTAATAAGCTCATCTTCTACTACGTAGGCTCTTTATGCTGAAGGCTACGTTGGTGTTTACCATCACTGCCGTCGAACAGATTACTGCCCTCTGTTAAGAACCCAGCATTGTCAAAGTATTTGTATGAAATCAGCCTCTAATATCACAACAGGCTGTTTTGTTTCTCAAATCCGCCCCTCCACTCCCCGTCCTCCTTCCAAGAACGGCCGCATGCGCTGAAGTGGTCTCCCAGCCCACAGACATTCATGACTGTTTGTGAGAGCTTATACTAAGAACTCTCTCCGGACTTGATACTACTAGGTCTTGTCGACAGCACTGACCCAAGTCCCTGTGCCTGGACCTCGAAACAGCCCCCCGTCAAACTCGGTCTCCACCCTGGGGACAGTGCCGGGTGTTGTACTAAACACTCCCCTCCATCATCTGCCGTTCCTCTGGCCGCCATCCATTTCCATATACAAGTACACACTTGCACCATCAACCTCAAACATCACTTCCCTGGTGTCTTGAGTATCGTATTGTCCCTTCGCTTCCCCCACACCTTGCGCCAAACACGTCTCGCGAGATTCTTTTATCTCGACTATCTTGTTTGGCCTGATCTGTATCGACATTGATGTTCTCAGGACCACGTTACTAGTGACGGGTCAAAGTCCAGACAACTTGGTCTGGTTGAGGAAGCGGCAAAGTTGAATAGTTTATGCTCCCATGACAACCGCAACGGCATACCCGGCCACTATGGCAGACTTGAGAGGACACCCAGGGCATTCAAGCATGTGGTCAAGTTACGGAGGCTCAGTACACATACCAGGTCGAGTGGGAGATCCCTTGCCATCAACTTCTTCGCCGCTCTCAGGACGGACTAGCAGTAATCATACCGAGATGGATCAGCCCTCTTACCCCTACAGCCGATATCCCCAAGACGACCAAGAAGCATACGACAGACCTGCGCACCCAGAAATTGTCTCACACCACGGCTACCCAAACCTGAAGAGGTCTTTCTCTGAAGCAGAACCACCTGCTTACCAGGAAATCGTCCAGGATCTCCGTGACGACAGCTCCAAGATGACAGCCAGCCACGAGCACAAGCTCTTGGCCTTCAAGAGGACACAGGATAAACACACCATAGTTGACCAGCAAGGCCGCATGCAACAACTAGAGTTGTCCGCTCAACTCCACGGGATGTTCTTCCTTTCCGAAATGCCTGCGAATACATCAGATGGCTCGCTCAGACAGCCTGAGTTGACCTGTTACCGAAGAAATCTATTTCAAATCAGCGGCACTCTTGTTACACCACGAGGTCAACTGTCTGTGATCACCGAATCTGGCGAGACTGTTGCAGTCAGCAACATGGAAGTTACTATTTCTGCCATTGAATCTGTTGATGGCAACCCGGTCCGATTAATCGTGATTCCGTGGAAAACCCCTCCACCAAACTCACCAGAGACAAACCAAACCCCAGATCAAGAACCGCAGTCCCTGCCCCTAATTCCTTTCCAGGACGATGGGACAGAATCTGATGGCGAATATGCCGTGTACCCCATTGGGTGGCGACGCCTTCAATTCAGGATGTAAGTCATTGGCTGCACTGGCAACACTCGCTTGCTAATACGATCACAGTGCAACTGCAAACAATGGTCGTCGAAAGGAGCTCCAGCAACATTTTGTCCTTCATCTCAAAGTCGTTGGAACATTGGCCAACGGTAACAAGACTGTGCTCACGGAATCCACGACGGCGCCCATCGTCGTCAGAGGGCGAAGCCCTCGTAACTTTCAAGCCCGAAAGGAGATCCCTTTGTTGGGATCCAGTGCAGGGTCTCGAGGACAAGCCCTTGTGGAAACTGGAGTGGGAGTTGTTGCGGGCCCCCTAAGCGCAAAGCACCAGGAAGCGAAACCGAGAGGCATTGACGCTCAGCTCCCACGGACAGCCTTTACCTTTAATGCGCCAAAGATCCCGGGCACACAGTTAGGCCCAATAAGATCTAAGTGAGTTTGCTCCTGGGTCGACTTGGTTGTATCTAGATTTGAGCTGTACTGACCGATTTGTAGCTCATATCCAACTTGGGGAACACCGCCAGCCCAGGTGCCCTTGGGTCATATCCCAAGCTCCGGTGCAGAGAGTTACCCTGCGGCATCAATGGGCCCTCTGGCTGGTACGGCCAGTTTCCCTGCTGAATCACAAGGAATGCCCATCCAATCATCGATGGAACCCCCTGTGCCCATATCCATGGTAACGAATGATTCGGAGCACCCACCAGTCCGATCCCAGTATACTTATGATATGCAGACAACGACTGGCCCTCCGCAGTTATCGATACACACCACTCCGCTCGGAAGCCATGACCAGGCCATGAACATCCCTCGTTACGTCGATAATCCAAGGCCGTTGAAGAGCCCACGACACATGAGCCATCCCTCCATAAGGAGCGCGGGCTCAGTAGCGAACACCGACGCCTCTCCAGAATATCGATACGCCCCGTATGCGCCCGTGAACTCGAGTTCTAGCGAGGTTGCGCAGCCTAGTTACAACCCAGAAACATCTGGGCCATCTTCAGTGCCTGCAAGGGACTACTACGCCCCTGCGCATACCTGGACATCAGCGTCTGGGGAGCATAGTACGAATCTGGCATATGCCAGCACTGCTGAGTCTCGACCATATCCTTTCCCTCAAGACGAGTACAAGAGTACACCTGCGGGATCGTCGCCAACGAAGACCGAATCGAGCCAGCCGCAGGGTTCGTCGGTCTATAACGGAGCCGCGAGAGGCTCTTTTGATGCCATACATCAGTATTCCTGGAATGGGAACTAGACTTCTATGTCTTTATTTTATCCACAGTTAAGAAGCTCGCGTTTGACGATACAAAAAGTTGCCATCAAAAGATGTTGGCCTAACGAGAAGCATGACAACCACTGAACTTGTGGAGCGCTTGGTTCGTTTGTCAGTGAGCTTGTAACAATACCTCCTGGAGTTTTTCTATTTTTTTTTTTATGACGGATGGTGTTGGCAATCTGAATTGGGCGGCTTGCACTGATTTGAAACATGGATACCAGAAAGTAGACGGAGCCGGAAGCAGAGGCAAGAATGATGAAGCGTTAATGGAGGTGAAAAGGATTGGCCGAAGGAGAAAGAAGGAAGAAGGAATTGATACACGAGGATTGACAAGAGATGACTAGAGGCTAATGACGCTGGGGAACGACGAGAACTGGTCAATTCGAAACCTCTCATTAATGCAGAGCGGCTGGTTCTGCAACGATTCGAGACGCCGTTGCATGTCTGGGGCTAAAGGACGGGTCAGGCGAAACAAGGTCGTATCTTCTCCTCTGATTTTGTTTGTTGATGTTGTTTATTTTCTCCTGCGGGTATGAGTCTGCGGATTGTACCAGCTCCGTCATAGGGCGGTGTTTTATATTGTCAAGTGGCATGTCGAAAAAGTTGCCGCTGAGCTCGAGTTCCCTTATGTATCGATGAAGTAGTTGAAAAACAATCGGAGTGTGATGAAGAAATTCCCTCGGGCTCTTGAGTGACTGGCTTGACTGAAAGCTGTTGTGAAGGAGGTAGAGCTGGAAAATGAATAGTCATCATCCTACTACCCCTGGTTGGTCCTTGCAAACGAAACGCTTGTGCTGTGAACCAACTACGTTGCAAACTCGGGGCCTTGGGCTCTTTATACTCAGAAGCAATCAATAACTGAGGTCACACGAACGTCGCACCATCGAATGGCCCTCCGAGGCCCGGACCATCTAATGCCATGCGCCCTTCATGCTTGCGCTGTGCCAAGTTAATGTCCCAATAGCCTGGTCGTAATTGAGCCTCTAAGCAGGGCTATCGTGGGGGATGGCATTGTTAATAGATCTGTTCTACCAGTGCAGAAGGTAATCTGATTGGTTCACCTGAAGAGCTGAAGTTCAGGTTGACTAGTGTGCAGAGAGGATGTTAGGCTAAGTGTCACAGAGTATCACTGGTTGATGCTCGCCTTTTGTTAATCCTTAATTTATGTTGCAGAGATAATTGCGTTTTAATCAACGGACTAGGCAGAATTTTATCTGGTGCTGTGAACACTAAAGTTTGACAATTTCTGAATACTTTGATTAGAGACAAGGTCTCGGGATCAGTACATATAGTTAGTACCTAGTACCTTATCTACTAGCGTATTGATGTACTAACCTCCTTAGGTAAGGAAGGTGCTTACCTATCTAGACACCGCATCCAATACAATTTTGGCACCTCAAAAGTTAAAGTAGATGTGGCTGGTGCGAGGCGATAAGATAACGAAGCTGCCATCCCGGAATTTTGGTATAGTTATGGAGATTTTGCTGCTTACAGCACCTTGACTTTTGATGGAAGTGGCCCAGCCTCACAAGATCCCCGCTAATCTGCTTCCCTGACTTATCTTGCTGCACCTTCTACAACATTGTAGTCTTTGTTTCTATTTTCACATTGAGGCAGACCTACCCAGAATCTCACTTTATGTCCCTGCGGCTGTCCACCATTGACAAACAGAGCAGCATGTTTGAAGTGCCTGAAGCAAAGAGGTAAGTGATGGCCTGCTCACCGTTATCCGTTTTCTATGTATTAACTCGCTTTTCAGGGTTCGAAGAGAAGATCTGGATAAATCAGATGATGGCGCAGAGAATTGGAGTGACGATGGTGTTTGTGATGTTGAGTTGCGCGCAAAACTGAATGCACAGATCGCAAGATCATTGGGGCTGGGAATCCTGGCAGAACCGACCCCTGAAGTCGCGATGAAGGACTGTTCTCTCGCAGGAAGCAAAGAATCTCGTGATAACGATGCTGGAGGATCAGAGACTATTTCTGCCGCCAAGGATGAGGGAGAGGAATTTGTTTTTCGACTTTTCAGCAAAGCCCCACCAAGTCAAAAAGTCGTGCTGGAGGAAGATCCTGGACCAACAGGCGATGGAACTTTTGTGATCGGTCGGCCACTCACTTACTATGTGGTTCAAGACATCTCTGCAGAACGAAAGCATGAGTATACTGTAGCAGCAGTGAGTGGGGACCAAGTGTTGGCGAGATCACACGGTAGGGCTTGGGGTCTCGAGGTTCCTTGGAGGGTTACGAAACTCGCTGTCACTCGAAACGCGAGGGCGAATAAAAAACTACAGGATGAAGTGGCTCAAACAAAACGGCGACCAGGAAAGAAACAACGGATATCCCTAAGAAAGCGAGCAAAGGAAATGGAAGAGAGGAAAACAGCCGAAGTCAAGAAATTGGCCGAGAAAGAGGAGCATGTAAAAGACAAGAAGAAGAGAATGAATCGTCTGAAGAAGCTACGAAAAAGGGCAAAAGCAAAAGGACAGAAACAAGCATTGAAAGAGGGAGATGGGAATAATGGCTCTGATGTAGATTATTCGGATTCTGAGTGAACGAATTCTATAGAGTACCTTAGAGAAGCTTATAGATAAAGAGGAGTATTACTCCGTACTTGATAAACTATTTAAGTTTTAAATTATAAATATTTATTATTTCACATAATATTTATATATTATATTCCTCTTCGGTTAAAACGCTTATAAGATATAGTTACAGAATAAAATTAAAATCCGATAATGTAGTTAATAAACTTTAGCTTTTCTTAAATTGTTTTTCTTATATGTACTAATGTAGGTAGTTGCTCTCGTAGTAAGTACTATAGCAGGCAGTTAATGACCACAGCAATTATGATGGTAAGTTGAGGAGGATGCGGGGACCCTTACCTACTAACTAAGGTAGTTGCGCCTGGCAGGACCTGCATTGATAGCTCAGAGCATCCGCCAATTATATTCGGCGGGCGTTACCAAACCCCAAGGCTGAGGTGTTGGGCTTCCTCCTCCTCCATCAACTCAACCAGGCCACGTCTACAACCATTATCGCTCATACATTTCGGTCTCTCTAAAGCGCCGGCTGAGACAAAAGCCACACGCTTGTTTTTTTGCAATCAGCACTTAATCAAGCAGTAGTTCCACTATGGCTTAAGCACCGAAACAAAAAAAAACATCGACTTTGGCGGGGCATTTGTTTAGATCAACCTCCCAACACCATGAGCAACGCCTGGCCTCCAAGGGCCTCTCAAGACGATGCGCAACCTATTACTCCGATAGATGATGTAACTGACACAGGTGAAATCGCTGACCTCGCCGGTGAGGCCGAACAACCCGATCTTCCACCGGTTCCTGCGCCGCCCACAGCAGCACGGCCTCCCCTCGAGCGAAACTCTCTACAAGGCGCTCCTCCAGCCGCGCCTATGGTACCTCTCCCTTCAAATGACCAGCCTTCGGGGACCGACTCGCTCTCTCTCCAGCAATTGCGCCATATAGTAGCGGAGTTCAACCGCGCGGATCCTGTCGCCTATGATTTTGAGTACACCGACATGGGTCCGCATGCCGAAGAGATAGACGAGTGGTTCAACTATCAGGTACCACAGTGGGTTAGGCTCAGTGCTGCACAGAGAGCTTTTAAGTGGCACTGGCAGCATGAGTCGAGATCTCAGGACTCATGGGATGATGCAGATAACGATACTCGGGCACGGTTTGTCCAAACCGCTATAGCAGGCGTGCAATCCAACGATGCAGCATTACGGTCAGCTTCTATTGGGAAGCTGGTGTACCTGGTTTTGGGCCGTTGGAACGATACTGCCATCCCGAATGCGACAGCAGGAGATAGCCGGTCCGTTGCGAGTATTCCACAGCTGCAGGCTATCAAGGCTGGAGTCGAGTGTCTTAGCTCTTTGGAAGGGCTGCCAGTGATATGGGAAGCCCTACGGAGTAATTTCGAAGTACAGTGGTGAGCATAGCCTGACGCACCTTTTGCAGCATGAAACTGAATATGGATCCCAGGTCAGGGGATCCACTAGGGCAGCATAACAGCGCCCAAGAAGCTCAGGATGAGTTGATGAATCTCATGACCATCATGTACGTTGCAGTGCAGGAAACTCTCAACGACCCGGAAGACATGTCCTCTACATACGGAAAGCTGTGTAAGCTTTTTCTTCGTCTTCTATCTGGCCTTGGCTGATATGAATAGTGGAACTCAACCCCTCGATGGTCGATTACATGTTTACAGCAACTTCGAAATTACGATGGGATGAGCAAAATGCCATGCCCCAAACTCAGGTATGTTGAGCAGTCGTGTTTCACGCCGTGATGCTCATTCTTCAACAGATACTTCTACTGTTTTGGAAATCAATTCTACTTGTTTTTGGTGGAACCAAAGAGCTCGAAGCTATGAAAGACGCCACTAATGAGATGGGAGACAAAGCAGCTGATAAGAAGACCATCACTGCTTCACCCCTAGACTATCACGTTTTCCGGCAAGAGATTACATCAAAATACCCAGCATATGTACCTCCGCGACCAGCCATTCCACTTGAAGCAGATAACACCTCTTTATTACCCCCTCTCTCGAGTCAAGTTTCCAGGAATAACGGTGCTAACGGTATCATTCCCGCGCCACCCCAGGTTCACAGTGGAGGAACCTCGATTCTTGACCAACCAGTACACATTGCAACCCCGGCGCCATCACCACCCCCTTCTCCAGCGGTAAACGGAAAGGGAGGCAAGAAACAGAACTATCAAACAAACCAGAATTTCCCTTTCATGTACCCTCCTTTAGATGCGTCGAGCAACTTTGCTGGCGGGAAAGGCCCTTCTGGTCTCCAACATGCTCTGGTAGGCCGAAAGTGGGAAGGAAGCGATATTCCCGCTTCCATCCTTGAAGCTGGAGAGTTATTCTCAAAACGAGTCAGGATGACACGGGCGACTCGCCAGCTCTGGGAAGAGCGCGAGCGATTTCTCAAGTTCGAGCGCGGCTATAATAGTGACCACAATGATGATGACGACGAGATTGAGGGTCTAGACCTTAATGAGCTTTCGGCAGAAGAGCAAGAGATTCTGAAGGCGGTAAAAGCGCAGACAAAAGCAGAGGAGAAGAGAAAGCACCCCGTCGCTCCTGAACCGGAGATTGACTATGGTCCTCGACCAGAGCTGTTGTCTGAACGAGACAAGCAACGCCTTGCTGCTGTTGAAAAGTTCTATGTGGGTGGTGAACACGAACCATGAAAATGGGGACGATGCTAACGACGTTTAGCGTGATGCTTTGCCTCACCTCCAATCGCTTGTGATAGTCCTGCTGCGGCCGATTCTTCTTAACGTGACAGCAATCGTCGCACAGCAACCTCAACAAGCACCTCCAGGAATGGGTAGAGGTAACAATCCTGGCATGAACGGCGGTCCTTCGGCGAATAGACAGCAGCAGGAGTTGCCCGGACAGAGCCTTCCCAAACCACCGACACCTGAATTGTCTCTAGAAGAAGTTGACGCCGCCAGGACTCGGGAAATCACATCGAAAGCCATGACTGGGATTCTCATACTCCTGTTGAAATGGCTGAGAGTTTCTCGTATGTTGATAGAGTCTGCTTGATTGGCTTCTTTGCTGATATTAAATAGATGTCCTCAAATTCGAGTATATGACGCAACTTCTATTGGACTCTAACTACGTCCCTCTCGTCCTCAAGCTCTTTGCTCATCAAGACGTTCAGCAAGTGGTTGATAGCAAAATGGACCGCGCTGAAAATAGGTATGAGGTAATGCTTAGGAGTTTAGAGCCAGTCTGCTAATATCCCTAGTTTCTTCCATTTCTGTAACCTGTTGTCGCAATCTAGAGATAAGGCAGCTGCAGACTCGGTGCAGGAAGAAGATGAAGGGGATGACGAAGAAATAGAAGAGAGCGAAGATGAGGCTGCTCCTCCGCCAATCAGGCGAAGACGATCGCCAACCGCGCAAAACGACGATGACACAGATCCCAACAGCGATGACCACGCTTCATCAACGAGACCCGAAGTAGACGAGCTTGGCTATCCCCTCAATCAACAACCGACAGAGCCTATCACAGACTTCTCGCGCCGCAACTTCTTCTCCCTCATTAATTACTTGAGAGTGATGCAAAAGATTTGCAAAAACAAAGCACACCGAAACTTGCTGCTTGTCCAATACAAGTCGTCAACAATCCTTAGGAAGTCTCTCAAAGTACCTCAACCAGAATTACGCCTGTATACACTTAAATTGTTCAAGAACCAAGTTCCCTACTGCGGCCGTAAGTGGCGCCAGAGCAACATGCGGGTGATCACGGCGATATATCTGCACTGTCGACCGGAGCTGAAGGACGAATGGCTTGCGGGAAGTGACGTGGATGCCGAAGTCGACGCAGCGCTTCCCCTGGAACAAGCATTGCGCAGCCTAACACACTGGCTTAACCTTCGCCGGTACCCAGACAAAATCGCACCAGATATCAGAGCTGCTATGCGAGACGAGCAGGACTTTTTCTCCAGGGAACTTGAGAAGCTGGAATTGAATTGGACAGAAGGGGGAGGCGACGATGGCATGAGCGAACTAGAGCCGGGTGAGGTCTGGTAGGCCTGTTACACAAAGGGGTTCTTGCTTGGGTGCTTTTGGTCGGTATGACGAATGACAAACAGCAAGTTGTCTGTTCACTTTCCGTCAAGACTCGTTTGTGGGTTTCCCGTTACATCAGCGTTTTGGTCTGGGATGTAATAGTTCAACCTCTCTGACCTATTGAAGCTTGGCTCTGCGATGATATAGAGATGGGGGAGATTAAAGCGAAGACACCAGCCTGTCAGATGAGTATAAAGTATTTCGAGCGGCAAAAGACCCTGGAGACAACATAAACTAAGAGATTTTAGTTCAAGGAAAACAGAAAATGTGAACAGCCCAGCCTTGAACTGGATATTGATCCGTGGAGAAACGGCACATCGCTATTATCCCGGCTTTGAAAGGATCAAAATGCATATTATTAATCATTAAGCGGGCGAGTCAAGCCCTATTATCTAACATAACGTGAAAATTCATGGGCGACCTGTTAATTTTGCCGGTAGCAACATTCCGGGTATCATTCTGCGCAGTTTTCCAATTGGGATTTCCAGTTTCTTTCGTTATATCTTAAGTGCGATCGTAGACGCCGTCTTCATAGCGATAGTTTGGATTCTCGCTCTGACGAGCAGGCGGTTGAGTGACACCATACTCAGGCTCAGGATAGTGAATCTGACCATAACCGTCCTGGCGCCCATGGTTGGGGTCTTGATAACTGAAGCCGGTGTTATCGTACTTGTTGTAGGTGTTGTCAGGGTAGTTGTTGACGGCGGTGCGATCTGTGGTGTGACTCTGGCGATACGTATCGAGCTGATCAGGATGAGTATGCTCCGGCAAGTCATGGCCTTCTTCAGCGGCAGCAGTCTTGCGACGACGGAAAAGACGGCCCAGGAATCCACCCTTGGCACCATAGCCCGAGGTGTAGTCGTTGGCAGGACTGGGGCCGAAGCGCTTCTCCTTGCGGTGGTGGCGAGCAAGGGCAACCTCCATCACAATGGAGAATATGAAGAAGATGCTGTTGAAATGTCAGTTGGGCTGCAGTATGCATGTGTCTAGATTTGTGACTTACATGGCGATGATAGAAACAGCTAGACAAGCGGACTGGAGCTTGCAAGCCGTGCGGTAACTCGGCAAAGCAGTGAATCCATCACTTCCCTCAGCAGTGTTTCCCGCTTTTCCTTTACCAAAGGGAGTGTCGAGATAGCCAGTGCAGCTGCTGGCGCCACCCTTGTTGGCAACAGCAACATAGATAAATGCACCGATGAAAGCGACATCCAAGATGATGGCGAAGAGAGAAGAAAGCGTACGGCCAGCGAGACAGCAGACAAGTACCAGAGCTGCAGCAGTGTAAAGAACGGCTACACCAGAGATACCCTCCACAGCGCGGATGGTATCGCTGATGTGAAGGTTGTGGTTATGGAGCGTGGCTAAGAAGTAGGAGTAAATGGCAAGGATAAGGGCTGCACAGGCAAATTGAATGCCACGAATGAACCATTGAAGGAACTTGAGAGCGGTCCCTGACTTAGCACCCATGGTCGCTTAGGTTTATACGAATATTGTCAAGAAAATAACGAAGATGTGAGGGTTAAGGTTCGTGGAGGGGATAGGTAAACTGGGTGAGGAATTCGGGGTTTAAGTGGTTTCTTGCGTATGGGGACTAAGCTTGCGCAAGACATCCATTATTACGTAGCTGGGATCCCTCCCAGCGCCATTGCAAAGCATCTGATTGTGTGGAAGTGGCCGAGTTTCTGTTGATCGCATTAAGAGTGGCGATGCTAAAGCGGCCGAATCTGGTGATGACGACGTTTGGTGTGTGGCTCACACGCCTGTGGTTGGATGGAACAGGAGCACAGCCTTTGTTTCGTTAGTGGAGACGCTGGCGCGTTGTGGCTTGGATGAGTTGGAATTGGGGAGAGCTTCTTAACCATCTACCTACCTCATTGTCCAATAGAACCATTCTTAAACAGGAGGAAGAACGCTATTAGAGCTTCCAAGAAAACAGATATCTACCTCAATTATTGCCCGAAAATAGAAAACTGAATGCTTTTCATACCGCTATAGCCTTCACCCATATTCGGTGGAGCGGACTACCCATTGTCGATCATCAGTCTCAGTTTCTGATGATGTCAACCTTGGAAAAACTTGAACGCCAATGACGACTGACACCGGGAGATCAACTCAACTGGAAGTTTTACCTGTTAAACCAGAACTGAACAAGAAGAGATGGGCAGGGGGGGTCAAGAACTGCTCAAGTTCCGAACTTCGTGACAAGGGTATGCCATCTAGCTAAAAGTTCTAAGGGGCCTCGATCCTAAGTGAAAAAAAAGACCCAGGTAGCTTGGTAGAAGTTTATGATATCATTTGTTGAGTTTATTTTGACACCATGTGTCAAGGTCTGATGTTTTCTTGCTCCCCAAGCTGAGGTTTTTAAATGGATCTGGATGTCCCTGCATTAGCCATATTCTTTCTTCAACGACCTTGGTTTATTTTACAGCTTCATTACCATCAGAGCCTGGTATTCCTACTAGGAATCTACTTAGTCAAGTAGGAGAAATTAACAGGCGGAGAGACATCTTACAAGCAAACCTGCATCATTTCATTCTCCTGACAGTATCATTAAAGAAGCATCACAAATTATCATCTACTGTGTGCTTTGTCTGGCAAACCGTATACAGAGCATAAAGGCATAATATTCGTGGCCATCCCGAATGAACTACTATCAGCGCCATAGTAATATATTGCTTTTCATCTCTCAATTCGGATTTGTTGTCTCAGGCGGGGAGTTTCCTTTATACCAACTAACTACCTTGCCTAGTATCTAATTCTTAGTGAAGCTCTGTCGTCCGCTACGTGCCCCACCATCCGTAGGTGTGTGCAGCATGCTACTACCCCACCACGCGTCTACTAAACACGTTCAATACCTGTTGTCTTTCATCGAACAATTGAGTGTTATTGACCCAGCAAAAGGAAATCGGGATGGCAGACGCAACTAGTGACGAAGATCGAGAGGTAGGAATACTTGCTTCTTTCCTGGCAATGTTCTACCGATAGCTAATAAATTGAGTGTAGCGCCTCAAGGCTGCCTTGTGGTACGCAGTTGGTCAAATAGTTGATGAAGAGTCTCTACGCCGTAACCGAAATGCCACACCACAGTTCATCGGCGCACTCACAGAGCTAGTCTGGACACAAATCGGTAAACAACAATCACCTCTCTCACTTCTGTATCGGGGTCGGGTGCTGAATAGAAGCAGAGAACGTTGCCACAGATCTGGAGAGTTTCAGCAACCACGCTGGACGGTCCACAGTGACAACAGACGATGTGTTGCTTCTCGCCAGAAAGAATCCCGATTTGCACCAGATCATGAAAGAGTTTGTTGACCAGGCCAAGGCAGAAAAGGGAACTGCAAAGGGAAGAGGGGGTGCGAGCAAACGCTAGGCTTGTGGGATGGTATCTGGGAGTTTGGCGCAACAAAAGGGACTTGACTGGTGACGGGAGTCAGAGATTACGGTTAGCGATACGCAGCTTGCAAGGAAGTTCTGATGATCAACCGTCTATTTATCCACTCCCGTCTCTATGTGTATATGTGTATGTTCTATGGGCTCACTCAGATCTTGATCGAGGATTCCCCTTTATACTTATCCCGATACTCATTGAGCATGCCCAGAGTAACATTCGAGCCACCACAAAGCACGATCACCACGTTCTTCTTACCCCATTCCTCGTCGGACATGCCCTGTCCAAGCACTCTTCTCAAATCCCCACGATAAGCGGGGGCCAGGGCAGCACCGCAAGCGACTTCAACCAAATGCCGCCCATCGTCAGCGAAACGCACGGCACTAATGGCAGCATCCGCATCAGATACAACGAGGCTCTTCATGGTGCCCGAAGAATGCTGGCTCCATTTCCAAGTCTGCTCTGACACTCTAGTGGCGCCCAGAGACGTTGCGATCGAGGTCATCTCAGGGAGGGTTACGTGTTCTTTGGCAAGGACGCTTGCATTGAGGCTGTCTGCTCCCTTCGTTTCGACGGCCACAACAGCTGGTTTCTTGTCTTGCCAGGGACGGCCCTCAACACCTTGCATCAGGCCATTGATCAAACCGCCGCCTCCGACACTACAGACAATCCCTTCGACGGGCTCTTCAAGTTGATCTCGGATCTCATCGACCATTGTTGCTGCACCGTCCCAAACCCGAGGATCGTCGAAAGGCGGGACATATATGCCCGTGGGATCATTTGCCAATAGCTCCTCACGCATGTACTTGTCACACTCGGCCCAATTCCTGCCTTTTTGGTGTACTTCCACCCCAAGGTCGAGAAGCTTGCCCTTCATGAGCTCAGTAATGATGGTAGGAATCACAATGGTCGCCTTTTGACCCAGAGAGAGGGCAGAAGTTGCACATGCCAGACCAGCGTTGCCGCCAGATGAACAGTAGAAGTGGACCGGGCCAGTGGCAGCACCAGCCGCTTGGGTCATAAGGTTGCCAATACCGCGGGACTTGAAAGAGCCTGAGGGTTGAAGATTCTCAAGCTTGAGGTACACATTGCTCAGATGATGTTAGTTGGTTTGAACTATGTCGTGACGGTGAAGCTCACCAGCCTGCCACGCGGGACAGTTGAGGATTCAAGAGGCACGGTGTCCGGATCCATGGTAACTTTGCATCAGAGCCGAGGGAGCCCATGATGACAATTGAATTTAATCGCCTTTGTTGACAGTTTGAGGTGCTATACTGTTCCCACTTTGACTCCAATGATCGATCAAGGTTCGGATGGAAGTCAAGGTGACTCGGAGGAACAGCGTTTTATGGTTAGAATTTCGTGAAGATGAAGAGATAAAGAGTCAACAGAAAAAGGCTATATTGATCTTTATAGATGCCTAGTTGCCAAGCAAGAACCACGAAGGCTCCGTAGAACGCTGTCGAGAGTGCTATTGAATTTCTGTTTTTAGCGCACTGCGGAGTTTGGCTTGGAACCCCAAATATTTCCCTGACTGTATCCACTTGCCAAACGAAAGGCGCAAATACAGTGATAATTGCATCTCAGCCTTCGAAAGGGTTCTAGCCTTTTGACCGTCTGAGTCAGATGAAGGAGGGAGTCCTTGGGGAGCAAGAAAACATCAGACTTTAATAGAGGATATCAAAATAAACTTAGCAAAAGGTATCCTAAATTTAGTAAAGATATCCTAAACTTATACCAAATTACCTGAGGCTTTTCATACTTTAGGATCAAGGCCCTGGGTTTTCTTTCCTCCCCTAGAGTTTACTTCCCTTTGACCTATATAATACGGCTCTAGAATATCTACAAGGGTGAACTCGGGTTACAGCTTTAAACCCTACGTTTGCTATAAGAGTGCGCTGACAACTTCGGACTGAAGCAATCGTTTAAAGACATCCAGTGTCTGCTTGTCTTGATAATCAACTGGCGAGATCACTTTACAAACTTTTCCATCAATCGGTTTATATCTTAATTTTGGATAGATAACTTCCAAATACATCCTCTTGCGACTTTCATTGCAATTATATCCAGCCAGGTGTAGCCATTCGTGTTTTTTTCCTATGGTTGGACCAAGTGACTGGTAAGTGACACTCGGTACACTTTGCTCTTCTCACAATTCGGTTCAAGAACATCATGAATATAACACCCAAACTAGGCTCTTTAAGCGTTCATGGGGCCCTGGTATATGGGCGTGAGCCAGAGGTTAACGCCTTGGTGTCCCAAAACTTGCTAGGCCTCTCTGTTGGTGATTGTGTCGTCCACGGCCTTGATACGCTCCATAATGGCCTCGGTGTCGTCTCTTGGACTTCTGCAACTCCTTTGATGGTTTTGTCAGTTCTCCCTTGTCATGGTAAATCACTTGATCCTGTCATCACCCGCTGATGCGGTGTCATGTCTTTGAGATGCCTCACTCGCAACATGTTATTCATCTCTTCTAAATTTTCGTGCCTATCTTACATCTAGCCTTCTGTCAGGATTCGCTTCTTGTGGTCTTAACGTTTGGTAGCGGTAAGACTAGCACCCAGTCGTGACTATATTGCGCCCAGTCGCTTCTCGGTATCAGTTGCTATAATCCCGTCGCCGCTATCTTGTCTGCCGAACGTTTGCAAAAGCCTGGGCAGAAGTCGACTTTATGCCTCAAACTAGGGATATAATAATGCTAACACCGGTCTGTACTCTCCCTACATCGTCAACATATAAAGGGGCTGAGGGGCTGAATTGGAATAACAGAAAAACATAGTAACCAGAAATGGCTGAAACTATATGATGGATTGCTTGACTTATCAAATGTAGTGCCTCGTCGTCCAGTGTTCGTTGAAATGTAGCAGTGAATCACCAGCCCCTTACCTCAATATAAAAGCGTCCTCTTCCTTTCCTCCACATTCATCTCTTCACATCTTCCCCACAACACCACTACCTCTCTGCCCAACACTACTCATTTCATTCCCTCCACACCCTCGCTCAAAGCTATCCAACTCCTTTAATCTTCTGCACCTACATTGCACACCATGGCGCCCACGAGCAATGTCAAGCAGATAACGATAGCCAGGGCTCAAGTTGGCCAGGTCATTCAATCTGAGACCTGCTCATCCTCGCCAAGCAGTTCATCTTCTTCAAGTAGCCCGTCTGCACCAGGTAGCCCATCTTCCTCGAGCGACTCGGCCGTTTCAATCGGAAACAAGAGAAGCTCGAGGGCCGCCAACAACGAACCCCCCAGGAAGCGTCATAAGCCTCAGCCCGACAGAGACTCACAGATAGTTAAAGCGCCCAACAACAACAAGGTGATAATCGAAGCGCCGCTCTTGACAGATTTCACCAAGAAGTATGGAATTCCCATAAGTCAATTCGTCTGGGGACCACGTGAGGCAACTCCTGAAGAAGACTCATTTGACGAAGATGAGACGGCACCTCCTCCTGCTATCCCCAACGCCTACCAACGGGATCCAAGTTCGCGTCGAGGTAGAGCTCTGGTGCTGCTGCCGAGGAATATCAATCCCATTCCGGCCCGTTATCGAAACCGTGCTCAACAAGGTCGCCGCGGGGTTATCCGCAGTTCCCCAGCTCCAGCTCCAGCTCCAGCTCCAGGGCCTCGGCCTAGACTCCCTATCAGGATCAAGGTCAAGAACCCCAGACGTCTCAGCTTCATGGGCCTTCCCGCCGAGGTTCGTGAACAAATCTATCGAGGTCTTCTTTTGTCGGACAAACCTATTCTTGTTTACGATAGCTGGAGGCGCGTGTACCAGCGAAAGAACCCTGGCCTTGACATCAGCATCCTCATGGTGTGCAAGAAAGTCTTTGTCGAAGCGAGAGGCGTCATGTACGGCGAGAATATCTTTCTCTACCTTCTTCGGGATGCGCCTACTCAATATCACGGGATGACCAACATCCAGGACCTAGTCAATGACGACATATATGTCCCTGAGCCTGGCATGAGAGACCAGGAAAACATCGCCGACAGAGACGCCAATCCTTTAGCACTGCCAGTCCACGAGCCTGGGACTATCGACACTGCCAAATACGCTCAATACTTTCGCTTCATCACGGTCAAGGCCGACCCCAGTCGCTCCACTGCCATTACGAAGGAATTTATGGTCGATGCTATCAAGATGTTTGCCAAGACCCCTTATAATGCCAACATCCACACGCTCAAGATCGTCATCAGCCCCAGGCTCGAACAAGGCAAATTTACCTTTGTCGATTTTTTCGAGCCAACCTCGGAGCTGATGATCGCATTGAGGGCACTACCTTGTGAGAGAATACATGTTCAGATCTTGAACGAGCATCTCAACAATGGTGCTTGGCCCTCCTCGACTGATCTCATTCTTCGTACCCACCAACTGCGATTTCATAGGCAACTCGTGTTGCAGGCGCGAGAGGACAAAAGAGAGGATGAAAGCGATGACAGAGACGCCAAAGGTCAGAGCAGGGATCTTTTCAGAACGGATGCTAAGATGAGGAACTTCCGCTACAACAAGCTCTGTTGGATCCAACAGAGAATGGCCCAGCTCAGCAAATCCATTCTCCAGGTTTGCGAGAAGTCCGCCAAGAACGACGATGGCGAGCAGAGCAACGCTGGCGGTGCTCCATCTGGAGCGACTGACGATGATGAAGACGATTTGCACATCCAGGAACACGATGAGTGGGAGGAGAGTGAGGACGAAGAGGACGAAGACCAGGAGTCGGACTACGAGCCTGAAGACGAATTTCTATGATTGATAGAAGATAGACCCGTGCCTTAGTGGAAGCAACGAGTGAGGGGCAAGTCGAGGCGAATACTCTGATAAGAAATGGATGGATGGATGATCGATCAACTTGCTCACAGATAGCTTAGCGTACTTAATCAACTACGATTCGGGGTATCTCGCCGTACCTATTCTATTCACCATGTCCATCTTTTGATCACATTACCTATGTTGAAGATATCTTGACCCTCTCGACCTCAAGTGTTTCTGTATCGATCAACACCAGCTCCTTTGTTTCTGCAAAACTCGGTACGGTCACAAGTCTTACGGACTGACCCTCAGGTCCGTGGATAACTTTGGTAGAGAAGTGTGGCTGGTTGCCGACGAAATAGAGGTGTGGGCAAGTCTGCATCACAAAAGGGTCATCATCCTGGAACGGATAGCTCCCTGTCCAATGTTTTAGCCTCGAGACATCAAAATTTGGGTCGTCATGTACTCACATAGCGTATCGGGTGCAGTCGGGGCACAGCAACGCCATCGACACATAGCTTCCATCATGCCAAGACGGTCATCGCTGCCGACGTACTTGAAAACATCGTCGACATTTTGGCCACCAGTACCAAGAAACCTCCATCCTTCGAGCTCCGCTTCCCATGGGTTTGTTACAGTGTCAAACCAGCCTGGTTGGGTGGCCGGAGCTGTTGGGTCACGCGCATATGCTCGTGCCGAAGGGAACATTGCTGGATGTACAGGTTGCTGTGGGTAACTAGCGTTCGCTGGATCCTGAGCACCAGGGAGCATAGTGATAGGAATGGATGGTAGAAGTTCGGCAATGAACGCGTCGAAGAGTTGGGAGGGGAGTGGGTTGTAGGCGCTGGCGTCGTAGCCGTACTTCTTCTGGGCTTTCTTTTCTGGAAGTACCTCGTCTGCGGCAGGAGGTTTGCGGTCTGTTGTCGAGATGGAATTTCCTGCTATGACAAGGCGGCTAATATGAGAGGCATCGATCTGGCTTAAAGGGGTCATAGCTTCACCGAGCAGGTACTCGGAAAGGAGTTGAAGCTCAAGGGCGTGAGAGGCATCAGTGCCTGAGAAAGACAAGCCAGAAACAATAGCAACCTTGCTTTTGCCCTTCTTGGCTTCAGAAGCATCAGCCATATCCTCATCTTCATCCTTTGTCTTGGCCTTTTCTGAATTGGGCTTCGAAAGGTTCCAACGGTCAGGTTGCGGAGGCAGGTCAGGGAACTTGATGTCAATGACCTCTAATTCGCCGTTGGCGTTTTCGGTGCCCATGGCCCCGATAATACATCCAGTGACCAAGTTTACGGTCTTCAGCACATCGCCAACCAGCCTGATGCGGCCCGACTCATCCTCCAACATGACCTGGTCGTCTTGGGAGAAATATTTCGGTGTCAGAATAGGAGCGGAGATCCAACGCTACGGGCACATTAGCATTCCATTTCATAGTCGATCGGCAACTGATATGGCATACATCCTTGGACACGTCCTCCAGAATATTCGGCTTCAGTGGCATCTCCATGTATACGGTGCCAGTTACCCAGCACAGCTCTCCCTGCCGAACATCAAGCACTCTTTCAACTCTCTGTGCCTCCTCTTCACCAATCGTTGTGCCTGTCCAGGCCTCTGCGGCTACTTTGTCGATAGCTGGTTTTATCTTGGTGAGGCGCAAAAAGTACATATCACCATACTGCTGTTGGTAAGAGCGTTGCTTGTCGAGCACAAAGGATTGTAGGGGCTTGTAAACGGAGACGCTCCGGGTAGGGAATTGGTGGGAAGTTTCACTGAGGGATTCGAGTCAGTCCAGTGCTTGCTTGGATGGGTAACAAAGCACAGCTTACGACGGCTTTCGCAAGAGGCTCCCCTCGACATCTTCGAGGGTCACCATGTTGAGTGGCCCCGAAATGGGAGTATTTGCAGGTTGACGGTGCAAATGAAGCGGCTGAAGGATGTACAGGAAGTTTCAGGCAGTGGCAAGTTTTGTCATGTATCGTAGTCGTGCAATTGACTTGACAAAGAGCTAAATTGAAGCTTCCACCTGTAGGATGAAAACGCGTGAAGAAGTTTGGTCCACGATTAGACGCGAGTTGGCGTAAAGTGGCTAGGCAACGGATAAGGGGACTGATAGGGCCCATTAGTGGGCAAGCGTTCCACTAATAAGGGACTCGATGGGTCTCAGGTGTCATGACGTGCTGGATCTCAGGCGGAGGGTTCACTAACTGGAAACGACAACGATAGTGGAGTGCGGCCATAAACGATAGCGGGGTTCAGGTGATGGGCAGGAATCCTCATGTCCAACGGATCCCGCCTGTCACCGGCTGAGGTAACCAATCTTCGTATTGTACCTAATTTGGAGGGGGAACAGAAATCTCTGACTCGCCATTCTCATGACACATACTATCTGATTATATAAATATCATATCCTCACAAATTTATGTTCCAGGATTACTTTCAATCCTCTTCCCATTGCCCTAACCTCTCAATTTGGCCATCCTTCTGCCTCTCTCGTTCTCTCCCGCAAGACGTCACCACCTCTGGAACTCATCATGACACCTCCTCCTAAGCCTCCACGTGTTGAAGTCAACAACCTCTCATACACTTTTCCCGACTACTCGACTGGTGTCAACAACATCACTTTGGATCTTCCTCCGCGGTCTCGTACCCTTCTGATTGGTGCTAATGGAGCCGGTAAAACAACTCTGCTTCGTCTTCTTGCCGGCAAACGTCTTGCGCCCAGTGACACCATCTCTATCTGCGGTGTAGATCCCTTCAAAGAGGGTCTTGAGGGTGTCACTTATCTTGGACTGGAATGGGTCCTTAACCCCATTGTCCGAACTGACATCGGCGTCAATGAGTTGCTTCGCTCTGTTGGTGGAGATGCATACCCTGATCGACGAGACGAGCTGGTCGCCATGCTTGATGTCGACACTAATTGGCGTATGCATGCTGTTTCAGATGGTGAGCGTCGTCGAGTCCAGCTTGCCATGGGTCTACTGAGACCCTGGACGGTTCTGCTCCTCGATGAAATCACTGTCGATCTCGACGTTCTGAGTCGTGCTGAGTTTCTGGCTTGGCTCAAGCGTGAGACGGAAATTCGGGAATGTACCATCGTCTACGCCACTCATATTTTGGACAACCTCGCTGGTTGGCCGACTCATCTTGCTCATATGCACCTTGGTACTGTCAAGGAGTGGGACGAGGCTGACAAGATGCTCGCTACCATCGATGGTACTGTGGGTGCCTCCGGCAATAGCCGTCTCGGAGAGCTTGTCTTGAGCTGGCTTCGAGAGGACTTGAAGGAGCGGGGGCCACGGAGCAATATGAAACGTGGCCCTGAAGGCAAGACCTATGGCTTTGGAGGCATCCAGATCGGTGGTTATGGCGACGAGTCTAAGCAGCGCGAAGCATGAACTATTTCTTGCGGATGTTCTTACTTCGGAGCATTCTTAACAATCGCCCCGAATTTCATTTGTTTTCGGGTTGGAGTTTGGAAAGATGGATAGCACTCAACTGCATTTCTCGGCGTAGGGTCGCAATACGGGGAGGATTTGGTGGCATTGGTCACTCATGCATGGCGTTCGACTCAAAGGGAAACAGTCCTCAACCCTGTATTCTGCGGCGTTTGTTCTTTTCAACACTTGATGCATGACGACGGAACGATATGGCACTGGAAGTGCTTAGCACGGTAAATTTCAACCAAGAGTTGGCCAAACTAGACCAGGCTGATCATAATTTAACATATGGTACAAAGGACAAGATATTCATTTTCTCATCACCATTCATTGAAATGACTGCGACGTGGTTGGCCTGGAGCTGCCCTCGCCGTCTATTAATCTCCTCAGAACTGTCATTGTGTTCTTCAAAAGATCTGTAATGCCTCCGAGTTCACTAGCAGTCAGCGCCTCGAGCACCTTGATCCTATAATCCTGCCACGAGATGCGTAGCCCCCCGGAACTTGCCAATTGCCCAAGGCTACTCTGTGTCGGCGGTCCCTCATGCCTGGTGCGCAATGAAGAATCACTATCGACTTCGGCATCCTCAAGACCTCTAATACATCGTTTGCTTTGCAAGCTCAGGAGTGGCGAGTGTGACAATGAGAAGAGAGATGCTAGAGTATGAGCCTCGTCCACAGAAGTCACATACGATGACAGAACAGGCACGAGGCTCCTCGGAATCATGCATCCAAGTGCGTTGGGGTCACTGTTAGTAAAAGCCCTGCCACGCCAAAAGCAATTGCACATGTCCATAAGGTAGCCATTGAAAAGGCTGACAAAGATCCTGTTATATGATGTAGAGTCAATGCGGCTACTTTTCTCACGCCCCGGCTTGGTGAGCATGGCCATCTCGAAACCCTTCTTGTAAAAGGCAAGAATGGCACATATGCGTGAGACAATGGCCGCAGAACTGCTGAAGAAGAGTATGTAAATGAGGGATGAAGGGGGTAGTTCGATGCAAATGTAGTGCTTGAGGACCTGATGGCTAACGAGTCTGGCGTTTTGCTCATAGAAGTCAAGAATTGCAGAACGTGATGAGACAGAGGGACATGTTTGGCAGACTGTGAGGGCAAGTGGATTAACGTGTCGGACCAAGGCTGTGATAGTCCCACTGGCATGGTCTGGTACTGTGTCAATGGATTCAAGCAGAACTGTCCAGTGGTGAAGAAGGTTCTTGTACAGGGCGAGAAGCGCTAGCAGAGATTCCGGGCTATTGTCAAGAGTGGCAGCTTCCAGGGGCTGAAAGATGTGCTTGTATAGCCCTGGAGAGTGTCAGCGTGACGGGCCAGTCTGGAGCGGCTTGAACTGACCTTGGAAGTCCAGTAATGGGGAGTAAGATAAGATCTCAAAAATGGCATCGCGACGTCCAGATCCATCCCAAAGCGGAAGAAAACGTGCAAAGAAGTCGAGTAGGAGAGGAGGAAGGTTCTGGTCCTGGTCAGATTTACCTTTAGCCAAGTCAACAAGAAACATACCTTGGTAGAAATAACATATTCCCGTAGGATATCCAGCATGTCAAAG